CCCCCCTGATATAAGCCTCTCTCGGGTAAAAAAATGGACTGAGTTCAATTTATTACGTTGTAAAGCTTAATTATAAAGCACTATATGAAAAACGTATTTCGATCAACACTGCTGTAGCTCATTTCAAAACGGATTGTTTATTCTGGTTATACGCCCCCCCCCCCCTACCCCCCCCCCCGGATATAAGCCCCACCCAAGGTCCGTTTACAAGCCCATTCAAAACCTATTACAAAGTTGTGTAAGCCCAGGCCTTATAAGCTGAAGTTTACGATACAAGATAATTCAAAGGTGCATTCAAGCTCCTCAAAGTTTAGCATTCCACGAGGTCGTTATTTTGGTTTCGTTTCTCACCTGAGATGCTCGTGAAGACTCTCTATCACATCTTGCCTCACTTGTATTTCACTAAGGAAAACAAAATAGTAATAATACAACAGGCAAGCTCAGCACACCTGCATTAGGGAACTGATTCGTGTCTAGTCAATCTTTTTCAGACCTTTCTCGTTCCTTTTTTTCGTCATAACCTCTTAATTTGGTGTTTCCACAAACGACTTAATTTGAAAATTAATTTTACATTGCTAGCATGACTGAGCTGGAAGGCCGGACAGTAAAATCTTCAGCTCAAAATTTTACTTCAACTGTTCGCACATCAGTTCTGGCAATCTCGGAACAGTGCAGTTAGCAAGTCAGCACCATAGCAACTCAGCAGCACCTTGTGGGTATCTTCTGCGATGGTGCGGTGGGCCAGGTCTACGGCTGAATTTAACAGGGCTCTTAGAATGGTTCGCATCCGGAATAACTGTGAACTGTGTAATCGCCACTAGGCTAATACACACACCAGCTCTGTTATGCACAAGTTAATGGCAATCATTCATGGAAAAAAGAATCAGTGTACAACATAAACTCCTTCAGAGCATCATCACACCAAATAACTTACTCCCTTGCAGATTTCAAGCTTGTTTCTGCAGCAGCTAGCGCATCCTCTAACTGAAAAAAAAAAAAGACTCATTTTCAAAATGAGCTCAGTGATAGTCACAAATCTGCCTCAGCCAACTGTCTCCAAGCACTCTAATAGTAACTACATTTAATAGCAATTCTGAGCATAAACTTCAGTTTCTCGACTAGGTAGTCATTTTGCCCTCAGTTTCCATGTCTAACTGTGCTTTTGTATTTTAGGGTTAAGGTTTCTTGAAAAATTACTGAAAAATTACCCTTGAGACTTGATGAGTTAGTTTTAGAACCGGAACGATCTCATTTGTGGAGACCTTAATTTTGGCGGTTTCGCTCTGTGTAAAGAAACAACTCCTCTCACAAATCTTTCTGGAAGACCATTAAGAGCAGCTTCGCCTAAATATCAACTAGACT